GCTACATAAATTTTTAAAATTCCACTTGGAACTGGAAATATAGTATCAGAATCGAAGGTACCTCCAAAAAATTTAGATTATATCTATTAATTGATTACAGACACAGTCTCCAAATTTGGAATGTGTAACGGAATTTGCCAAATTATTTTGAGATCGGTTCAGATTTGGATATAGCTCGATTTCATGTATTTGATGCATCAATCACGCTGTATATATGTAATTTTAACGAAATTTGAAATGGGTGGTAAAATTTATATAAAAAACTATTTGCCAAATTATATTGAAATAGGTTCAGATTTGAATGTAGCTCCCATATACATTTCCGGCCGATTTCATGTATTTAATGCACCAAACACACTATGTATCTCTTATCTCAATGAAATTTGGAATGCGTAACGGAATTTAAAACGAACATACATTTGCCAAATTATATTGAAATCGGTTTAAATTTGGATACAGCTCCCATATATATATTCCGTTGTTTTCATGTATTTGATGCATTATATTTCATTATATTTTATACTTTTTCACTTTCAAAGAAATCTGGAAATACATTTGTAAAATTTTATTGAAATCGGTACTGATTTGGATATAGTTCCTATATAAATTTTTCGCCTGATTTCGTGTATTTGATGCATCAAACACGCTATGTTTGTCAAATTTCAATGAAGTTTGGAATGTGTGACAGAATTTGGCTAACTCAGCTAACAGTAAAAAACTACACAACAAGTTAATTGAGGCTATGATTACTACGGGGAAGTGTGTAAGTTGATATGTATTGCTACCTAGATTCCCTCCAATAGCTAAACCAATGTCGTTAAACTTGACGTTGACATTTGCTACGACAATTAATAAGTCCCAAAGACAAACCCTTCCGCATGCGGACTAAATTTTAGAATTTCCACGTGACCTATCGATTTTTTTTGTTTACTCTCCTGAAGGATAGAAAATTGTATTTCCTAAACCATTAGAACAAATACATTTTTTAAATTCTTGAGTTTGTTTTATTTTTATTAAAAAAACGCAAAATATTTATATATAAAATTTTGAATACATATAAAAGCAAAAGGGGTATCGAAGCTCACAGGGTTCAGCTAGTAGTTCATAAAAATTGCTTAAGCACAAATTTAGTGAAATTGTTAACCGTTTAGTAGTAGCGAAATAAAAATTGCACTACCACTAATTGAGTAGTGGTAGTGAAGTTGTTAGTGCACTAAAAATATAATGCATTATGTCCATCTCTGTATCTCAATATATCTGACGATTTCTTTCTTTCTTTGTTCAATTCATTCTTAGTACTATTCTATTCACTCACGGTTAAATGCTTCAATGTAGCCTCCCAATGCGTCAATTGAAGTAGCATGAAGTGGTACAGACATGAGCTTAGAAATAGCCCCACAAGAAATTGTCTACAAGCGTTATATCGCACGATTGAAGCGGCTTCGTCTGTATAGATATGAGCTTTAACATAGCACAGCAAATATTGTCTAAAGGTTTTAAATCGCATGATCTAGGCGCCCAACTGACCGGTCCCAAATGTTCACCAAACTCTCCTCTTAGACATTACAATTACTTGTTAGCATTTTTGATCGTTATTTTTAAATGTTTCAATACTGACTCCAAACTAATTCCATTTTTTGAGATGGTGACAAAAGGAAACATTCAAAATTAAATTTCTATATGGGTTTCTGAAGAAAAGAAATCTGTAATCGTAGTATATAGCATCTCTAGTAGCTCTTGTTTTTGTTATATAGCTTTAGTCCATTTTACAACTTTTAATCAGGTTTTCTTTTTCATTGGAAACAAAAAACATTAAATTAAAGGTTTTCCGAAACGAACTCCTCAAGGAGACGTAGTATACCCGATTTAAATAGCTTTTGTAAAATTTGTGGTGGTAGATATTTGAAATATATAAGAAATCTACATCGGATTTTGTAAAATATGCATTTGCTGTACTTTGAACTACAATTACACCATCTGGATGATGCGATTATATTCTAGTGAAAATTAAGATGTTATGTAAGACGTAATATCCATGATTTCATATGGAACTATCTATAGGACGTAACATCCATGAAATCTGCGATCGTTTCGGCCTGTTCGTTTTTACCGGACGTTTATATTTTAAACCAAAACTTCAATCGGTTACAAGTGTTTGGATAAAAGGAATATACCCTTTATCACATCTAACAAAATTTTATCATATGCGCGAATCTCAAAATATGATTCATCGTTATCTTTTTGCATCGCAGTGTGAATTGAACAATTAGACAAAACCGCAAAAGCAATTCAAAACCAAAACAAATGTTTCTGTTTTTGTTGTTGTTTTAATTGCTCTTGATAAACAAGATTTGCTGCTACAATGAATGAGAGCAAAAGAAACTGTGAAGAGAGCTGTCAAATATACAAATAAGTGTGTGTGCTTTTTTGCAATTAGATACCACAAATATTTGCTTTTGAAATTATCTAAGTAGCGTATTTCATTGAAATTATCTGTTACAAAGTTCGATTCTAGAGAGATGTTAATACATATGTATGTACATACATATTTAACAGGGTCATTAAAAATAAGGTGCTGAGATTGATATAAACGAAACAAGGTACTGCTAACTACTTGAGGCGCTACAATTTATTTGTTAATATTTCCAGTGACATCCTTGTGCAAGGTGAACTACTCACATACCAATGAGGAAGTCTGCCGCTCCCTTTTGAAGCTCATTATATGGGTACCCCTTAATACAAACTCTGAAAGATATTCCCATCATCTACCACGTTTGGCACATGATTCAACTATGGAAATATGAAAGAGATATGAAAATTATAGGTGGTTTCCACTAACACTAAAGTAGTTCCCGTCAGATAGTCCCCTGTAAAAAAGGTGTCCATGATTACTATAGCAAAAATGTGGGTTTCAAACACCTTAATAATGTATACAGAGTGAGATAAAAAAACTGCAACAAAGTTAAACGCCATAATTTTTATTTTTTTTTAATTTTATTGAATGAAAGCAAAAAACTTCGGAAATAGCATAAAATTTTATAATAAGTTTCGATTTGTTCGAATTGGTCACCTTTGGCACGAATTATGGCCTTCAAACGGCCAATGAAACCGTCATACGCTGCCCGAATGTTGCTCTGCGGTATTTTAGCCCATTCCCGGCGAAGCGCTTGCTTGAGATGATCGAAACTTTGGTATTTGTTAGTGCCAACTTTGTTTTCCAAAATACTCCAGACACAATAGTTCAACGGATTGCTATCCGGAGATTTTGGTGGACATTATGAACGTGAGAAACCTCATTTTGTTACCATTCTTGGGTGGCGCGTACTGAGTGCGATGGTGCTGAATACTGTTGAAATATCCAAGGTCTGCGGCAAAAATGTTTGCGTGCCCAAGGCTTTAATACACCCTCTAGAATATTTTCGCGATAATTTCGGCATTTATTCTTATGCCACGGTCGATTAATACGAGCGGAGAGCGACCATCGGCTATTATGGCGGCCCACACCATCATCATGGCCGGCACTTGAGTTCTGGTGGCCAACACAACACAGGTGCACATTTTCAGCTGACCTCTTAGCAAGTAAACACGATCATTTTGTTTGTTTACAAACTGCTGGACAACGAATGTTTTCTCATCGGAGAAAACCAAATTCGGCAGTTCACCACTTTCGGCCAAGCGAGTCTATTTTCTTTCTGTTGCGGTGTAAGTTCTTGCACTTTTTGGAATTTCAATGGCTTTACCCTGAGCTCATTTTTCAATATTTGCCAAATGGAATATTGCGATATGTTCAGTTCACCAGCCATTTTTCGGCAACTGCGACGCGGGTTTCGGGCTACACTACCAGTATCACGGTAACGAGCGATGGTACGAGGCACAAAAGATTTCTTCAGATTTAAATGCTAGAGTGCTCCAACGATAGCCACTTGTGGTTTTCCAGCCAAATATAAAGAAATCACACTATCACGCTTGAATTACTTTATTTATTTTTTATTTATTTATTTTCAATTTGTACAGAAACCTAACCGACAGGGCCATGGACGGTTCAAAAAAAGTTCTATACATGACTACTCTAAATTAATTATAATATCCTTAATCCTAAAAGAATTACTTAAAATTAAACACTAAAACAAATTAACAAAAAATGAATAAAATTAACAATTGATTGATGATTTCAAGAACTCCTATACATGACTACTCAAAAAAAATAAACTGTTTTTCTGGAAAATTCTCACCAAAATGATTTTGTACGCTTGTAAACAATAAAATGAGCTGTCACTGGAATAATTTTAACAGCTGTCGGACGAGTGGCTTAGAAATGACAGCAGTCTGAAGTTGGTTGCAGTTTTTTCATCTCTTCCTGTATAGAAATACTTTGAACATTTAAAGTGACAAACTTCATACAACTCCTGACACAAACCAAACAAATACTATACAAATTAATCTCCATCCGTCTTAAACTAAACTCATAGACACTTGAACCTAAATAAATTGCATTTTGTTGTATATTAAATAGTCAGGCTTCGTCGAGGCTGCGTTATCATTTAAATTCGGATTAATGTCAAAACATTTGTAGTTTTACTTAATTCTTTAGTCCCTCTTCTATTGAGATTACTATCGTTACTTAGATACGAGAACATTATTGCCATACGAGTCATTTGTAAATAATTTCTGGGGAGAATAGCCCCAGGCAAAAACCAAGCTAACTGATGAGGATTGGCGGCTCTTTCCGAAACCGGCTTTACCCTCCTGGCAAACAATGCTATTTTTCTCCTCTAATAAATAAAAATTGTTTTTATAAAAACAACAACAATGCCAAGACTTCTTTAAATTTCAATTCTTATATACAATAAATATAGAAAGAACAGTATATTATAACAGTCCTTCTAAAACAAAATACAATTTGTTTTTCTCTTTCTATAAGAAAACGAGCATCATACATCAACTTGATCTAATCTCATACTACACCTATTAAGATTAACGAAAACATTTCCAACACTTACCTAACTTTATTCATTATCTCACTGCCGGCATTGTTAAGAAGACATTGCTGTAGAAATCCTTCGGGTATAGTTAAACGCTCACTGAGCACTTTGCGTAAATCTTGAATCACAGTTTGATTGCCCAACGTTTTTGGGCATTGTTCAACACCTGTGCGTATCATTGTCTCCAGAGTTTCTTCCAAATAGTTTTGTATGGTATAGCTTAGATCACTGGCGACACGGGTTAATTTCACTTCAACCGGATGTGTTTCACAACGAACAGCTTCCTGTAATTTTGGCATTAATTGCTTGCAATTTTCCGCATCTTCGATTAGACGTTGTACAGCCGATGATGATGATGTCGAATCGTTGCTACTTTTGGCAATCGACATTGTGTCCTGTGTCTCAGCCACAAGTTTGTCGACCAACTGATGTGTGGAAGAGAGTAAAAAGCCATGTTGCAAACGGAATCCTTGACCATTGGTGCGTTTCAGACCGCTGCCATTACGTTGCAGTAGCTCTTGCATTTTGCGCATAATTGCATCCGTTTTCTCCGGATGATTTTTTAGATGCGGTGCAATATCGAATACTGGAAATGGTATGCAACGCATGCTGTAATTGTTTTCCAAGGCATAAACAATATCGGCGTAACCCTGCAGGGTTATATTATTCTTATCCAAATATATGGTGCGCAGTTTATTGTTGATTTGTAAAGCTTTGGCCAGCAAGCGGGCACCAACATCACCCATATAATTTCCCGATATATCTGAGGAAGGAAAAAAATACACATCAAGATGTAACACATAATCCCCGCTTTACAACTTACCCAACTTTTGTAGACTTTGATTACTGCCCAAAGCATTAATAAAATCGTGTATATCAACTTTCAATTTATTTTCCGATAAAGTCAATTCAGCCAATGGAAAATCATCTTTTTGTATTAAATTGACCAGAGCTTCCATTACCGTAGGAATATGTTTCAATTTCATGCCAGTTAAACTACGGCACATATTCAATGTGCGTATAGAAGGATTCTTAGAAATAGAAGTTAAAACAGGAGCTAATTCGACGTCCAAATCTAGAAAAATTGAGGTGTACGACAAACATGAGTAATAAAGAGCACCAAATCATAGAATGTTGATTTGCTATACTCACTATTGTCACTTATATTTAAACTTTGTAAAACACGAACACCATGTATGCATGATTCTAAAACATGTGCACCCTGGGCACCCAATGTATTGCCACTTAAATCTAAATACAGCCCAGCTGTTGACTCGTTGCATGCCAAACCGAGTAGTAAATTTCTGTAAAAAATAGAAAAAAATTTAATTAAAAATCGGCAAGTAAGGTCCATGTTTTGCCATGTTTTTCGATGACATTTTGAAACCATCGGTAGCAATTTAAAAAAAAGATCTTCTGCTAGCAATAGTTGAGATAAGGAAATCCGTTATAGTTATCCAAGGCATTTGGACATAGCTTCCTATGTCTTTTGTTTTTTGGTCAAGGCGTCTCTTGGTAGCTTAAGCAAATCGAATTTATTAGATTTTTAGAATTCTTGCAGTATAATTTTCAAAATTTTTCGTTCGTCTTGCTGTCATACTAAAAACTTTCTTGGGAATCTATTTTGAAAACAATGAAACAAAGCGACTGCCGTTGAGGTGATCACACATCCTCCAACCAAATAACGTCATATGAAATCTCTGAACCGTTTTATGTTTTGAGGAGCTTAATGCCATTCCGAAGACCTTCGAAATGTGTGTGCGGTCAGATTGTCGCTTTATAGGTTGGACTGAAATGATAAAATTTGACCGAGTAGAACTGTGGATATTTCGGTTGGTAGACCTGACTGTCCCGGGAAAAAAATAAATATTTTTTTTAAATTCAGATATCACTAAATTCAATATAATTTTTGATATCCTTCTTAATTTCTATTGAAAAAAAACCCCAATGAAAATACTTACTTCAATGCTTCCATGGGCAATTTACAACCGGCAATATTTAAATGCTTTAAACTTAAAGTACTGGTGAAGAATTGCTTAAACGATGGCGGTATCTCTTTGCCTTTCTTTGTGCTGAACGAATTATGGGAGACATTAAGATGAGCTAAATGCGTCGCACAACCACGTAAGAGGGCACCAAATAACTACAAATATAAAACCATATGAAATATTAAAAACTTTTTGAATTTATTACGAAAAATTCGGATACTTACATTCTCTAGTGTTATATCAGTCGAAGAGAGATCTAAATATTCTAAAACATTTGGTTGTGCTAAAAAATTGTGTAAATTCTGAAAAAAAATGATAAAATAAATTTTGTTAAGTTTCAATAAATAATAACACATTTGGGAATCGACTTACAGTTATATCATCTTTAAGATTGTTACCACTTAAATCTAAATGTGTCAACGAATTTGGAATGCTTGGATTGAGCGACAGTGAATGTGACATTTGATTAACACCCTTGGATGTAAGGCCACAATGTGCCAGAGCCAATTTGCACAGACCCTTGGAGACTTTTGCAATAGGTCCTGCCAAATGTATTGCACCTGCAAGTTAAAAGCATTTATGTGATTAGTACATTTTGAAAAAAAAGCATGAGGAGATTCAATAAAATATGAAGAAAAAATATTAAGAAGGAACAAACTGGAATAAGCATTGCAAAATTATTATAACAGTAATGGTGGCTGTGGTTCAATGAGAAATTGCAATATATATTTTAAATAAAATGGAAGTGTTGTGTGGTGGTTTTGGCTGGATATTGACCTAAGTGTGTGTCTGTTTATATGGGTGAGGCTTAAAGAGAAGAGAGAAATATTAAACACCTAGTTCGAGCGATATATGAAGGTGTCTCAAAAGACGAAAACCAATATGTTAGAACAGAATTTGACGAGGGACTAGATTAATTCTGATCATACTATGTAAAGTTTAAGACGAGGATTATACATGATATGCATTACTATTCACACAGAGTAGAATACAAAGGTACAGCTAAAAGTATGAGGCAAGTGTATCGGCATTTTGAACGTTTACATCGGAATGTAGCCAATACAGGGTGAGATAAAAAAAAAAAACTGCAACACAGCCAAACGCCATAATTTTTATTTTTTTTTTTTTTAAATTTTATTGAATGAAATCAAATAATGTCCAAAATAGCATCAAATTTTAGAATAAGTGTAAGTTCTTGCACTTTATGGAATTTCAATAGCTTTACCCCGAGCTCATTTTTCAATATTTGCTGAATGGAATATTGCTATATGTTCGGTCACTGCGTCGCGGGTTTCGATTAAGTCGCTGATGTTGCTGTTTTCTTCCGTCCACTTCCTTGACGTCGTGCTACCAGTATTACGGTAACGACCGATGGTACGAGACACAAAAGATTTCTTCACATTTTAATGCTGGAATGCTCTAACGATAGCCACTTGTGGTTTTCCAGCCAAATATAAAGAAATCACGCTTGAATTCCATAACGAATGACTTTTTTCTGGAAGATTTTCACCAAAATGCTTTTGTACGCCTGTAAACAATATAATGAGCTGTCACTGGAATAATTTTAATAGCTGTCGGACGAGTGGCTTAGAAATGACAGCAGTTTTGGTTGCAGTTTTTTTCATCTCACTCTGGGTATGGCTGGAAAATTTCGCCCATTTTTACATTTCTGAAAATATTTGGGTTACGATTTTTGAATCCATGCATTTTACGCAGTACTAAGGCAAAATTCAGGTGAATATTTTTGTAAACAAATTATGAATCAGTCAAGTCATCAAAGGGACTTTTAGGTCTTTTTCTTCAAAAACTCCATTAAGATGTCATATCTTCAATATCAGTTTAAAAAATTCTAAAAATTGGTTGTCATACAATTTGACTATAGGTTTCAGATTACTAAAAAAGCCTCAAAACTTTCTTAAAAACCGAAAAACTAAAAATAAACAAAAAACGTTTTAGGGTTAAAGTAACACTCCATCTGAAATTATGCAAAATAGCTCCACGAATGTCATTTTAGGAGGAGGGAGAATTTAAAAAAAAAAAAATCCGTCGGAAAATATCGCTCAAAAGAAACTCGTTATATGGGGGTTATACGAAGACGTGGTCCTACATAAGTAATTTATGTCATAGGCTGTAGTCACTGTTCCGAACTTTAGATACGAAATTTGAAACAATTCAGGCGAATAATGTCGCAAAAATAAAAAAAAAAAAAAATACCGAATATGGGTAAGAAACGTTATATAGGAGATATATGATATAGTGGACCTATATAGACAATTCTCTTCCAGGGGGTTATGTACTCACAAGGAACTCCTTTTGTGGATTTTAAGACAATTCCATCGCAAAATGTGGCTAAAATCATCCAAATACCGAATATCGGTAGGTGCTATTATATGGGGGATATACGATATCGTGGACCTATATAGACAATTTTCTTTTAGGAGGTAAAGTACTCATAAAGAATTCTTCGTGTAGAATTTTAGACAATTTCATTGGAAAATGTGACTAAAATTATCAAAATACTGAATATCGGGAGGTGTCGTTATATGGGGATATACGATATCGTGGACAGACAAAAGACTTATCTGTGCAAAATTTTAGCTTCCTATCTTAATTCGTTTTGACTGTAGCGTGATTACAACAGACAGACGGACGGACAGGTTTAAATCGTCTTAGAATTATTATTTCGATGAGTTATGAATGGAATAACGAACTTAATATACCATCCATACTATGTATGGTGGAGGGTATAAAAACCTAATATTCGAAATGTTCATCGGATAATATTTAGAGGGTGGAATTGACCTTACATTTTGTGTGAGAAATATCAAACTTTCCAATAAATTATTTTTAATGTAGACAGTCTCTAATTGAAACTAAATGTTTCGGGGCCTCGTGGCTCCGGTCCCAAAACCAAGATAATCCTTTTGTATAACCTTATGACATTATGTAGAGAATGAAATGGACCATACATATACCTGTGAATGGAATGTCCATAGCGAACGAATTTTTCTGAAGAATATTAGATTCAGATCTACTAGAATTGTTCAAACGGAAGGACGTAACAACGACGACATACGGCCTTGAAATTTAAACTTTTATATCCCAAACAATTGAAAATTAGAGGACGAACCTTGTCATTGGAATTATTGTTTAAGCAGTAGATAAACGTCATGTGGAATTCGTTCATTCTAGCCAAAATGGTTTTAGGTTTACAGAAACTTTGCGGCAAATTATAGTGGTATATGCTATCACATAGACGGCAGGGCCATACTATTCAGGATTCAGAACCAAAACCAATTTATCAGAACAATATAATTTATGAAAGAAATCGGGTTTGCCGTTGATGAAATCTTAATAGGTCAAAAGGAAGGTTATCGTATAGAGAATTACACTTCTTATAAGGTTTTTAGTAAAACCATATTGACCATATTTAGTAAAACCATATTGACCTTGTATACCCCAACAATTTCTCATTTAAAACATAATCAACTTGGAATGCAATTCTAATTCATACTTCAATTATTTGAAACAATGGAAAGGCTTCATGATTTCCATGGATGTGAAAATAGAATTTTAAGCTTGATAAAAAAAGTTCAGCAAGAATTTATCCTTGAGCTCATTAAAGCATTGAAGATGAGTACTCGCGTATTGATTTTCATTTTACGTTTTTCAATGCGTAAAGTTTCAATAGAATAAAAATCGTTGTGTGAAATAATGAGAAATTGTAGAATAGAATTTTATTGAAAATTCGATGTTGTTGTAGTTTGTTATTGTATGCATGAAGTATGTATAAAGCGCAACAAATAAAAGCAACACAAATGCAACTTCAAATTTGAAATGTTATTAGAATGGACGAACAAAAAAATCAAACATTAAACAACATTTAGAGAATGATTGATTGACTGGTTGGTTGGTCGATTGAATGAATGATTTTCAATTTGGTTTTCCGTTTTTTTTTTTGTTTTGTATGCGAAAAGAAACTCAAACACACACAGAGAGAATTGTTTTTAACTGTTGTTAATCAAACCTTGAACAATTTTTCCAAGTAGGGCACATAATGAGCTTGCACCTACAATATTTAAAATTGATACGGATAAAAAGAAACGGGAACAGAAAAAAAATAAAAATAGAGGCATACGTTGGGGTTAAATATTAGAGAAATTGGATTAGAAATGGGTTTAGCAAAAAACTAAAAAATGTATAAATAGGGTCAGTGGTACATAGTTGTATATGCATATTGCTGGGACACAATTTGGACAGTTATTTACAGTTTGCAGATTTCGTTTTTGTACTTCTTTTTGAGGAAAGTAACATTTAGAGGTTAGTACTTGATGGATTAGCTTTAAGTGTAATGGCGTTTACCTTTATCCTCAATTAAATTATGACTCAAATCGATGGTACGTATTGCAGGATTAATATTTGTAATCACAGATATGGCCAATTTATAAAGAAAATCGGATCTAGGAATTAAGAAAAAGTATAAAATTAGTTGAAAATCTCAACAAGAATTGAATACCAATACAATAATAAATATTCAGCCTTTTTCAACTCACTTTAAACCTAGGGCTTCCAAATGCAACTCCTCGAGCCACATTGAACGTTTGAGCACATGCAGAATACGCTCCAAAGTTTCATTTGATAAGCGCATATGTGAAGCTTTTAAGCCACGAAAAAATGTATTGTATTCCAATGCCGATACAATGGCCATCAAGTCTCTGTTAAAGTAAAGAAAAAAAGAATATTATTAAAAAAACACACAATTTTTAAGGTAATACTTTGGGCGAGACTTACTTTGGTTCTAAATGGTCAAAATCACGTAAATTCAATATTCGTGTATCGTGTGACAAATAAATGGTATCGATATCCCAGGCAACCTCCTCTCGATATGGCACTCCATGGAAATCACACATGCAGGCATATTGAGTACTAAAACCACCGCATGGTCCAATGTTGCGCGGATCGGATGGTCGAAACTTTTCAGAGAATATACCCACTCTTTCCGGTGGTTTTATGTCGATCTGGAATTAGGAAAAAAGCACAATAAATGTAAAAACTTGTCAGAAAGAAAGGAAGTTTTTGGAGTGTTGATTTTAGAGATCGTCGGAACTAAAGTATTTTTATATAATAAACCATTTATAATAAGTTATCAGAAGTTACCAGAAGGAGTGCCGATATTGCCATTTTTATACCCTACCTACCATAGTGGTAAGGGTATTATGTCTTTGTGCATTTGTTTGTAACATGAAGACGGAAGCGAGATAGACCCACATTTACTGTTGAGGATCCTTATAGAATCACTTTCTGAGTCGACTTATGCATGTCCATCCGTCCGTATGTCTGTCCATGCAGGTCGCATTTATTATCCGATTGAGATACAATTTTCCAAACAATATTAGTTTGACCCAAGGAGAAATTGGTGAGAATCGGTTCAAATTTAGATGTGGCTCCCGTATATGCCTTCAACCGATTTTGGGGTTAATAGTGCGCCAAATAGATATCAGACAAAGACAATATCCGTTCAAATGATTTGAATTTGGGCACATCCGAATTCAGTCTAGGAGCAAATTTAGTGAAAATCGGTTCAGATATAGCTATAGCTCTCATATATATGTTTCATCCGATTTGGTGTCCCTCACATTCGTAATATACACACCACAAGAATGATATTTGGTAATAGATATCAGATAGAGCCCAGAAATATTTCTGCCAAATTTTATCGATTTTATCGTTTCAGATATAGCTAAATCTCCCATGTTTCATCCGATTTGGTGTTAAAGCCCCTCAAATGTGTAATATACATTTGAAAACAATGATATTTGTTACCAGATATCTTATAGAGCTCGGAAATACCTTTGTCAAATTTTATCGAGATCGACTAAGATTTGGATATAGCTCCCATATATATCCTTAATCCGATTTCAGGTTTATTGTTCAAATAATGGCTAACATCAGACTAAATGGAGTGAATTTCGGAAGGTACTTTTCCATTTGGTGGAACTCGGCTTCGATATATATATTTTTTAATATAATCCTTCTCGAAGTGATATCATGCACCTTACAGGTTTTCTTTATGGAATTAGTCCTTATTCTTCTCCTCTGTCTAGTATCCTCGATCCTGGTACATATGGTCCAAGAAAGTCGCGCCTCTCGAATCATTCAGGTTTTTTTTGTGGACGAACATGCACTCTGGCGAAGTTGTGGTAAAAGGTTGTGCCTGGTATGATGTGTGCTTGATAAGATTCAGGGCTTGACAACAGAGTCTGTTTCTAAATTAGGTTTAACACGTTTTTTGCCCTTTGAACTTTGTCTTAGAGTTAGTTGAAGCTTGAACTTTTAATTATAAACTACCAAGACGTTCGAACGATATTCTACGGAGAGAAGAGTGTTCTTTGTTTAAAAATCACTAGCGGCATATTTTCATCATAGGAGCGGCTTTGTTCATTAACGAAATATTCAAGGAATTTCACTATCCAGGCACAACGTACTTCTGACGAATTGTGGGAAATTCCCATCTCTCACTTTACCCTTCAGATAGGACACCATATATAAGCTCTCACCTTCTTCTCCCAGGTGGAACTAACACCAATATACAAACTAGCTAAAAGTTCAGTGCCGAAAGGCTGTACTCAATCAGAACAATTATAGAACTCTTCTCCTTTCTCCCTTCTCACGCGCTTTTTTCTCCTTTTTGAATATCTGAAAAATCGTCTGAGCTCTCAAGATACCTCACTCGTTGGCATATCCTTTAACATACTATGGAGGGTATATTATATTGAACTCCACGAACTAACCATTTCATTTTCCACAGAGTTTGAATATTATCGCGAAAATATTCTGGAGGGTTATTAAAGCCTTGGGCACGTAAACATTTTGGCCAGAGACCTTGGACATTCCAACAGGACTCAGCACCATAGCACTCCAAATACCGCAGAACAACATTCGGGCAGCGTGTGACGGTTTCACTGGCCATTTGAAGGCCATAATTCGTGCCAAAGGTGACCAATTCGAACAAATCTAAACTTATTCTTAAATTTGATGCCATTTCCGACATTTTTTGCTTTCAATCAATAAAATATATCGTATATTCACCCCCCCTATGTAACGGTGCTTCCCTATATTCCGAATTTTGGTGATTTTAGTTACATTTTTCAACGGAATTGTCTAAGAATCCATACTAGAAGTTCGTTCTAAAAACTTTACTCCCTGGAAGAAAAATGTCTATATGGATCGTATAGCTCGATATTCGATTTTTTTAGAGACATTATTCACCATTATTTTTTATTATTTTATTATTATTATTCACTATGCCAGAATATTATCTATGCAGGTCCAGGTCTTCGTTTATGTCCCATATATCAATACCTCCCTAGGTACAATATTCACCGAAATTTTTTGAAATTTCGTATTTGAAGTTCCTAATAGGTACAACAGCCTGTGACAGAAAATTGTCTATGCAGATCCAGGTCTTCGTATAGCCCCGAATTAACGGTACCTCCATATATTCGGTATTTTGGTGATTTTAGCTACATTATTCACCGGATGTTTTCAAGTTTCGTATTTGAATATTGTAATTGCTTATGACAAAATTTGCCTATACAGGTCCACGACTTCGTACGGACCCCCTTTCCCCTTTTTCGGTATTTTTAAGATTTTGACAGAATTTTTAACGGATTTTATTTTTTTGAAATTTTCCAAATTCTTTCCAAATGGTGGAGGGAATTCAAAGTTCAACCTGACCGAACTTACTGCTTTTTAACTTGGTAATTCTTTCAATGCTAAAAATTCTCAGTTGGTCAAAGATCTTTTTGCTATTGGTCCATGTTTTGGTATAGCCCTCTTTGTTAGCGGTTTTATTTTAGGAATTTTTCAAAATGATTTGAATTTTTCGAAAATAAGAATTGTATTATTTTCTAATTCTAGAATCTGGGTTTTTTTTTTTGAATCATATTTATAGAGAAGCTCATTATTAACAATAGTAAAATGACTATAAAAAAAACCTAAGCATATACATACATCGTATGCTTAGCTTCTTTCGGCAAACTATGAAATAAGAAACCCTAGAAATTGTAAATGAAAAGTTTTTGATTACTTTTGTTTCTTGTTGACCATGTACAAGCAAAATTTCTAAGCAACTTGAGATGTTACTGACCTATGAAATGGTTGCTTGATATATAAAAAGTTGTTGGATAAATAGCTGGGACCTTTAAATTAAAATTTGAAAAATTATATAGGGCTTTATAAACAAAAAAAGGGAAAATTGGTATTTTAAATATAAAATAAGTATGGACAACAAATTAGCACACACAAAAACACAAGATTTGCTCTTGTGTCGGCGGAATTACTCTATGGATTAATGCTCGTCTTAAAAAATCCACGACAAAAAATATAGGATATTTTTTCGGAAATACCATTGCAAAAATATTTGTTTTAGTTTATTATCATGTTCGAAGGTCATTTGTATATCTGACTTGGGTTGTTTCAAAATTTTACGAACATTTTTTTGGAATATTTCCGGTATTGCCTTTGGCATTATAAAATTATAAGGTTGATTAGATTTAGATTTCTCGCATTAATAATACCTTGTTTTGAAGTTTATGCCACCGCTAAATTCTAACGTTAATTTTTTGTTTTACCTGTGACGTTGGTCTGGGCGACAATGACATGGAATTGGTTTCGGTAACCGTTCCAAAGTACCAATCCTTGGCTTGGCAAAAATAATCGAGTACTGCTTCCATGATACGTTTCAAAGCATCAAAAATACACCAGAAACGCATTACCCCACGAACTAGAAAGAACTAAGGCAGGCAATAAACTCGAATCTCGAATTGGTTTGAATTGAAAAAAATCATGGTGGTTATTTTCAGAACGAAACAAGTGCATCATCAATAACCACACAATATAAGTTTATAATTATTAATAAGTGACGAAAATAAAAGTGGATTCATTGATTCAAAATAGCAGCTATATCAAAGGGGTAATGAATTGCAGTGTGGTTTGAAAAATGTACAAATGTACAGGGTGAGATAAAAAAACAGCAACAAACTCAAATGCCATAATTTTTACATTTTTCTTTCAAATTTTATTGAATGAAAGCAAACAATGGAAATAGCATCAAATTTTAGAATAGGTTTAGATTTGTTCGAATTGGTCACATTTGGCACGAATTATGGCCTTCAAACGGCCAATGAAACCGCCACACGCTGCCCGAATGTTGCTCCGCGGTATTTTGGCCCATTCCCGGCGAAGCGCTTGCTTAAGATAATTGACACATTGGTCCATCGGATTGATATCCGGAGACTTTGGTGGCCATTGTGCGCTGGAAATGAAGCGAGAAACCTCATTTTGTAACAATTCTTGAGTGGTGCGTGCTGAGTCCTGTTGGAATGTCCAAGGTATGTGGCCAAAATGTTTGCATGCCCAAGGCTTTAATACACCCTCCAGAATATTTTCGCGGTAATATTCGGCAGTTATTCTGATGTCGCGGTCGATTAATACGAGCGTAGAGCGACCATCGGCTGTTATGGCGGCCCACACCATCACCATGGCCGGCTTGAGGCTTGAGTTCTGGTGGCCAACCGAAGGTGCACATTTTCAGCTGACCTCTTTGGCAAGTAGAGACCATCATTTTGTTTGTTTACAAATTGCTGAACAACGAAAACCAAATTCGGTAGTTCACCACTTTCGGCCAAGCGAAGCCACTCTTTAGACTCAAATTTTCTTTCTGTTGCGGTGTAAGTTCTTGCACTTTTTGGAATTTCAATGGCTTTACCCCGAGCTCATTTTTCAATACTTGCCGAATGGAATATTGCGATATGTTCAGCTCACAAGCCATTTTTCGGCCATTGCGACGCGGATTTCGATCAAGTCGCTTCTTTACTTTTCGAACCATTTCTCCTGATGTTGCTGTTTTCTTCCGTTCACTTCCTTGACGTCGGGCTACGCTACCAGTATCACGGTAACGAGCGATGGTACGAGACACAAAAGATTTATCCACATTTAAATGTTGGAGTGCTCTAAC